CCTTCCAGCTATGCAGGGGACAAGGCAGCCATGCATGCCCACGCTCTGATACCACTTTTGTCATGTCCTTCCTGACAATTCAGACAAGCATCCCTGTAATCAAAGCTCAAAACAACAGTAAATTTACAATCCCAGAAATTTTTACCTTAAATAGCGAAACTTCACTGATCTCAACTTAGAGCTAGAATATCTTTGTGATGTTTCCCTAGCAGTTAACATTTCATCCATACTTTACTTATAAATTATAACTACCCATATTCTGTGGATTCAAAATACCTGGCTCATCGTTAATATGGTGTTTTAAATTTAGTATTTTATTTTCCCCCACGACATATAAAAACAGTCTTTAACATTCCTTTTTAAAACTTTGAGATCCAAATCCTCTCACTTCCTCCATCCTCACCCACTTCATTGACAAGGCAAGCAATTCAATATAGGTCATACATGTGTACTCATGCAAAACATGTATAGTCACGCAAAACCTATAATAGTCATGTTGTGAAAGAAACCATAGACAGGAAAATAACTCCAGAAAAATAAAGAAAATTTTAAAAAGTATGCTTTCATCTGTATTCAGACACCATCAGCTCTTTCTCTGGGGATGGATAGCATTCTTCCTCCTAAGTCCTTCAGAGTTGTCTTGCATCATCCTATTCCTGAGAATGGCTAAGTCATTCACAGGTGATGATCTTACAATATTGCTGTTACTTTGTACTCAGTACATTTCACTTTGCATCAGCCCATGCAAGTCTTTCCAGTTTTTTCTGAGAGTACTTCGCTCATCATTTCTTATAGTACGACAGTATTCCACCATAATCACATACCACAGTTTGTTTAGTCATTCCCCAATGGATGGGAATCTCCATGATTTCTAGTTCTTTGCCCCCAGAAGAGAGCTACTATAAATGTTTCATACATATAGGTCCTTTTCCTTTTTGGTTTTAATCCTTTTGGGGATACAGACCTAGGCGAGGTATTGTTAGGTCAAAGGGTATGCATGGTTTATAGCCCTTTGGGCATAGTTCCAAATTGCTCTGCAGAATGGTTGAAACAATTCACAACTCCACCAACAATGCATTAAAGTCTCATTTTTCCCACATCCCCTCCAACATTTGTCCTTTACCTTTTCTGTCTTATTAGCCGATCTAATAGGTATGGGTAATACCCCTGAATTATTTTAATTTGCTTTTCTCCAATCAATAGTGAGTTAGAGTATTTTTTCAAATGGCTATAGATAACTTTGATTACTTCATATGAAAACTGATTGTATCATTTGATCTGTTATGGCTCTTATTTATACAAATTTGACAGAGTTCTCTGTTTGAGAAATGAGATCTTTATTAGAGAGATTTGCTTCAAAATTTTTTCATAGTTACTATTACTAACTATATTTCCCTCCATCCTATTTACCCAACCCATTTATTCTATTCTCTCTCTCCTTTCACCCTGTCTCTTCTCAAAAGTGGTTGGCTTCTGACTACCCCTCCTCCAATCCAAGGACTTTGGTAGCAGCAATTTTCTTCAGCAGCTATGGTAATTGTGCAGATGGGAGAAAAATCCAACAATATTTACTTGAACATAAGAAAATGACTTCCTTTTGTTGTACTGACTAATGCCCACAAATTTTTCATGATGATCAGAAACTCATAGCAATCACAATGAACTAGTAGGGGTGTAATAAGAATCATGAGTGATGGGAGGGTGCTTCAGGCTAGCATGGAGGGTAACCTAGTTAAAGTCACTGGACACATATGAATCACTTCCAGGCTGGTCCCACTCTGCTTCTCAGCTTTTTTGCCACCTTTGAGATTTTCAGAGCCGACAGGGACGGGATACGATCTAAACTACTGATGTACCCCAATGCCAAAGTCCCAGAAGGGCAATTTTGCACTCAAACAGCTAAGGGTTCTGAGCTATCAAAGAGGTCCTGTGGGCAGAAGCCTCCCTCTTTGAGCTGTTTTGCATGGTTCAATCAAAGCCCCTGAAACTACTGATGAGAGCACCTATAAAAAGGAAGCTGGGGAGGAATGTGCTGGGCAGCTCAGAGCTCAGCACATGGACATGAGGTCCCAGGCTCTCCTCCTCTTTTTCCTGTTGCTGTGGATCTCAGGTGAGTGAGGAAGAGCAGAGACAGTCCTGCCTTTTGTCCTTCTGGGTAGAAGTCTGAATGTGTGTGATTCTGAGGGTCAGAGAAAAGTGGCTCTTCACTGGTGATCATGAGGGCAGGGCCCAGCACAGGAAGGTCTAACTCACAACACTGTCAAAGAGATTCCTCCTACTCTAAACATGGACTTGCATTTTTCTCACTCTTTAACTTGTGTTTGTGATTGCAGATGCCCGAGGGGCCATTGGGCTAATCCAGTCGCCAGCCTCCCTGTCTGTGTCTCCAGGAGAGAGAGTGACCATGTCCTGCAGGGCCAGTCAGGGCATTAACAATAATCTGCACTGGTTCCAACAGAAAGCAAGCCAGGCTCCTAGGCTCATCATTAAATATGCTTCCACCCTGCATGATGGGGTCCCATCGAGGTTCAGTGGCAGTGGCTCTGGGACAGATTTCTCCCTCACAATCAGCAATGTGGAGGCTGAGGAAGCTGCAGTCTATTACTGTCAGCAGAGGCAAAACTGGCCTCCCACAGTGCTACAGCTCTGAACAACAACCTGCCCAGGCAGCAGCTGAGGGAGGCATCACTGCCCTGGAGCTTCTCCTTCTGCCCACCTGGGTCAGGGGCAGCTTGTCTGGGCTCCCTCAGGGGAATGTTTCTGGTTCTCACAGGTAGATGGTGAGGTTGTGATGAGTTCTGACCTTGATTTCTTTCCCAGACAAGAATCATGGAGTGACACAAATAATTATTTGAAGACAGTCCAAAGGTGGGTTTCCTAACCCATAGCTAACTAAAGACCCCTTTCCAAATCCTCAACAAGTGTTCTTACAGCTTTGCTTGAAGAATTCCAGGACAGGGAAACTAGCTACCTAGGAGATTAGTAGACAGAGGCAGGCATATTGTTGAGAAGATTTTAGTTCAAATCCAGTCTCCTGGGCAGAGGCTCAGAGAATAGTAGGATCCCAAAGCACAGGAATGATGGCCAGGGCCTTCTCACAAAGGCACCTTCAGCCCAACTAGAAATGTGATGAGCATGGAGAAAGCAAATCAGGCAGTCTTGCCTTGAAATATTTCACAAATGTCCCATCTCATCATCAATACCAGAGATGGGGAACCAGAGGCCTCAAGGCCACATGTGGCCCTCTAGGTCCTCAGTTGCAGCCCTTTGACTGAATCCAAACCTCACAGAACAAATCCCCTTAGTGAAAGGATTTGTTCTGTAAATCTTGGACTCAGTCAAAAGGCCTGCACCCAATGCCCCAGAAGGCCTTGTGACCTTGAGGTCACAGGCTCCCCACCCCTGTCCTATTTCCTTACTTCAGAGGGACTATTCACTCTGCTCTACCTTCATGAACCACAGGACTAGGGCAGAGGTCGTTATGACCTGGGCTCTTTGTATGGGCGAAGTCACAGAATTAGCTGACCACAAAGTGCTGCGAGATTCTGGGCTCCCATAGCTTTATTCTGCCTTCACCTCCCCATTTCCTCTGCTGTGGATGCTTTCTACCTGCTCCTTTCCACATCCTCATGCTCACCTTGAGGGCAAGGTAGGCATTCACGATTATCTATGCTTGATACCACCCTGGGCACTAGGCAAATCAGATAGCACTGACACAGGAAGTGCTCTCATGGTGCTTCCAGACACTTTCTGAATTTGCAAACACCACTTCTAAGCATTAGGTTGACTTGTCATGGTGGTGCAGTTTGGCAAAGATTTATGGTTGCTAAAGAATGAATGGCTTTGACAATAGGCAGGATTCCCAAGGAGTCCACTGCATGGAGCCAGGTCTGGGCCTCTCCCTTCCAGGCTTCCCACTCAGAGAACAGAGGCACCATCTTCAAACATCATTCCATCCCATATCAACTCAAAGCCCTCATGGCTCTCAAAGATCCACTGGAGCCATTTAAAACTGTCTTGTTGCATTGCCATGAACTCCCTCCCCCACTTTCTCTCCCCTATTTCAACTTCTTCATGTCTCCTTATGCCCCAACATGGGCTGTTGAACATGGGCATTCAAGCCAGATGGAGTCTCTTCTGGAGTGTTAGTTCTTTCCTTCCCTTGTTAAGTCAGTAGGAATCTATAAGTGATAGCCACTCTGTCTGGAAAGTGTATTTTGAAAGAGATCTCAATGGGCTGGATCTCCTGGTAGATAGATCACTGGTTTTTAGGCATAAGAAAAGTTTTAGTCTACCTCTATTGCCTCTGTGATAGATGTGTGTGTGTGTTAAGAGCAAGGTTCTTGACTTCTCTAGATTTAATAATAATAAGAGTTAGAATTCATACAGCATTTTTATGTTTGCAAAACTCTTTTTATATGTTCCATCATTTAATTTCTACTCAGCTGTCTCTTCATCCAAAATATTTGATAGTCGTCTATTCCATTAAAGATCCATTTTGTTCCTTGTTTGATTATACTCAGATTTGCAGGGTAAGAGAAAAAGTCCCAGGAATGTCATGCCTAAAATTCATATCATCCATATGAAAGAAAAAAATTCTGGCAAAGCTCCTGAAATGCACCATGTCAAATACCAAGGAATGCCTCCATATCTCACAAGACTTGGCAGCTTCTAGAAAAGTCAGAGCAGATCTTGGAAAGCAATAATCTGAAAACCAAGAATACCTTATTCTGCACATTTGAGTTTAATCATGCAGATAACAATGCAAGGACGTTGCAAAGATGCAAACAATGTCTTGATATCTGGAACTAAAAACTAAAATAAGAGAGTAGAGTAAGGAATATCAGGGAAGAATGACTAATATGGAGGAAGGAGGTGGTCAATGATATCAGATGAGCTCCTTGCCGGCTCCAGTAATAAAACAGTCATTTAAGTGCTACATGCAGTAGTAAGGGTGCACTTGGGAATAAACATAACTATTCCTGTCTCATTCCTCCATTGTCTACTAGAGAACAGGATGCTATCATTGTTCTATCAACAGTTAACCAGCTGAGGAGGTGTAGTATATGATGTGGCCACCAGATGGTGGTCCAGATACACATTGATAGCCACACTACACTCATTTCTCAACACCAGCTCTTCCTCAGGACTACTTTTTCAGGTAACTTCAGTTTCATCTTAAGTATCCAAGTATTTCACAAACATACACCAAAATTCACAAATACAAAGTCTTTCCTCCACTTCCCAAGCCCCCATTTGATGGGCTCCATTCATTCCTTCCATCAATAATCCTTTGAGTTCAGAGAAAGAGGCAATAGATGAAGTGATGAAAGAGATCACATTCTTTGCTCAGAGGCACAATATGGTAGAGATGGGGGACTTCAGTTGTCATGATATCTACTTGAGGTCTATTCATATGCCAAAAGCAGGGCCTCTAAGAATTTCTGGACTTCCATTAATAATTTTCATCCTTCAAAAGGCAGAGGAGCCAACCAGGAGAAATTCTATTCTAGATCAAATTCTCCCTAACAGGGAGGGTGAAAATGATGTTTAATCTGTAGAGAAGGCAACTCTCCATTTTCCACTCTATGAAGTAGGAGAAGATATCTGGACACATACCTGACCTATGGACATTGTGTGATTTATACCTGAGATTTTGGGAAAACATATTTTGAAGGGTTCAGTTGAAGGATAGGTTGGATACCATGGATTCAACTTGTATAGAGAAGTGATCCTAGGAGGCAGGGAGATGGTTAAGATGAAATCCTGAAGACACAAAGGGAAATGATCTTAATGAAAAAGAAAATTTGAATTTGTCTGAAAAGACCAATAAGAATGAACAGGGAATTCAGAAAGAACTTTGACTTCACATATTTAAAATTAAATTGTATTTTTAATGAAAAAACGGATTTTCTTTCTCTCTTCCTTCCTCATCACTGAAAAAATAAAGGAAAACAAAACCCTTGTCACAAGTCAAACAGCTTTTCACCTTGTTTGTTTTCAAAAATGTATTTCTCATTCTACGACTTGAGTCTTCTTCTGTCACGAGACGAAACACATACTTCATCATTCTTCCCTTGAAAGCATGGTTAGTAATTGTGTTGATCAGAATTCTTACAGCTTCTATGTGTAGTGCAAGGTTGCAATGAAACTTCATGAATGTACCCTTGCCATAAGCATTGGCATTTAATGGACTATTTCAGTGTGCTGAGAAGAGACAGCAGGATATGTAAATAACCAATAGGATGGGTGGTGCAGAGTACTGGACTCATCACAGACTCCCCAAGCTAAACATTCGCCTTCAACAGAAGCTGTGGCAGCAAGGCCAGATGACCCCCAGAAGACTTAATATCAACAGATGAGAGCGCTTGTTGGAGCGGGAACAGTCTGGTGCCTGCTTGGAGGGAAAGCTGAGCCAACACACCTTTGGCCAGAGGGCAGCAGAAAAGGAGGGGGCAGCTTTCAGTTATTAGGTGGATGACACCACATTGATTCATCTGGGCCAGAACCCTCACAAACATCAAGAATGGGTGACAAAAATGATGGGGAAATTCGGAAGCTGCCAAAAACAATTAAGACTCCACAGAGCTGACCAGCAGAATAATGCATCTGGCTCTAACAAGGCAGCATTTAATGCCATCAAAAGTAAAGTGCAAGGAAGCTTAGAGAAATGCGGTATTCTTGGCTCAGTGAGATGGCAGATGAAATTCAGTTTATTACTGATAGTAACGATCCAAAGAGCTTTAATAACGCCCTGAGGCTATCTGTGGGCCAAAGAAATAGAGTGTATGTCAGTTATTCTGTGCTCATGGAGCCACATGGATTAGTGATAAAGACATGAACCTGGAGAGATGGGCTGAACACTTCCATAGTGTTCTCAACAGACTGTCATCAAGCAATGCTGAAGCCATTGACTTCTCACCTCCCCATGAAGTAAATCCCTTTCTAGCTGAACTTCCAAATGAAGACAAGGTTTTGAATGCCATTAGGCTCAGCTCATGTGGCAAAGCACATGGTGCTGATTCTGTTGCAGCTGAGATATAAAAAGCAGATGGTACACTGCTCATATCAAAGCTGACTACAATCTTCCACTTGATATTGCAAAAGGATGTTATTCCCCTAGGAGTTCAGCTATGCCTCCATTGTCTATCTCTATAAAGGAAAAAGGAATAAATTCTCCTGTGACAAACACAGGGGTGTCTCTTTTTAACTCAATGTAAACAAGCTTCTCACCAGAATCCTTCTTAATAGATTAATCCTTCACCTGGAAGTTGGTCATCTACCTGAGAACTAGTGTGGCTTCAGAAAGGGCCAAGAAATGGTCCCTATGGTGTTTGCTGACCAACAACTCCATGAGAAATGGCAGGAGCAGATCAGAGGTGTGTATACAACATTTGTCAATCTCACCAAGGCTTTGGATGCTGTGAGGCGTGAGGACTTGTGAAGGATTATGGTGAAAGGTGGTTGCTCAGAGAAGTTCATCGATCTTGGGCAGCACTGATGCTCCATGATGGCATTCTTGCATGGGGTTCTGAATGATGCTCTTGTGCTTTCCCAGTTACCAAGAGTGTAAAGCAGTCTGTGTCCTTCCATGTTGTTTTGCACCATGTTTTCAGCAATGTTTTCAGCAGTCTTCAAGAAAGAGAAAAAGAGAATGAAACTCAGCTACTT